GTACACAATATATTGTCCCTCGTGCTCTGGCCTTCCCATGACTTCTCCCATCGCCTAAGGAACCGGGCCTGGAAGACTGCAGCTGTTAGGGTTAACCGTCTTAGCCTTAACACCTATAGACATATAGGGCACGCGAGGAGGGAGTGTAGTGACACACCTTGGTGTGGGCTCCTGTCGCGCCAGCCCCCTGCGCCTGACCTCTGCCATCATACCAAGCCCAGGAAGTTTAGGTTCAAGAGAGTGCGATAGATTTTGTGCGAGTCAACTATCACTGTTATCTAAGTGGTGTCCCGAAATCCTTTGCATCCTAATAACACTCACACTTTACGGGGAATTGTCCTTTGACCTTTAGGAGAGCTTCTTCCCTAATCGGCATCGAATGAGTGAGATTCTGCAGGGTCTCCAAGGAGGTCTTTCTCCAGGCCTCCAGCAGGGATTTCTCCAATCCAGCAACAGTATTGGGAGCAGGCACTTTCTGGTCATCCATATTGCCGAGAATTGGCCATTGATTTTCAATTGGGTTCAAGTCAGAACTATTTGCTGGCCACATGTCTTTCCTCCAGAACTATGGAATTTTCTCTGACGGCAACCTCTGGGTCTCCAAGGCTATATGAGCTGTGACTCCATCCTGCGTAAAAATAATCCTTGACTAGCTTACAGAATTTGTTTTTCCAATCTTGTAAACAGGTTCTGCTTTATGATCCCCCCTCTATAGCGATAGCAACTGTTTTGGCTTCAGGCTAGTTGCGAGTGTGTGTCCGCAGCTGGGAAGCCTTGACTGCGAGGTATGTTCTTACAACCAATCAAAAGAAATGGTGCACCTCGGTTGGCTCGAGCGAAAAAGGTAGTTTAAGTAATGCACCTCATATAACCCTAGTCCCAGCATTTTTGTTTGGTGGAGCCTAACGACCAGCTAGCAGGCAGCTAGCATACATGTAGCGATCCGCGCTCATGGCAAGCTATCGATCGGCCTACACGCGTCGAGCGCATACTGGCAGTCAATCAATCAATAATTTAAAATTCAAGCTACAGTCAGCCGTCGAGTCACAAGCCAATCGTGTCGCTACCCGCACAAGGAAAGAAGCTGACTGGCCGGATAGACATATTTATAAACGCGTTTGTTACCCTAAATATGTTGTACTAATTACGCTCAAAGACGTCTGCTTTTGTCCAATTCTCGCCGTGTTCCTCCTTGGGGGCTCACACAAGACGTAACCAGGCGGTGCCATCGCGACTTTGGCAAACGTTACAACAATTTTGTCCTACGGAAACGGTGTTTATAGGGGTTTTGGGGGTGGGGAAATAGTAAGGCAGCGAACAAAATTTGTAGAAGTAAGTGTAGAGTTGGAAAATCCAGTTGAATTTGTTTTCCGCAACCGCTGGGAATTAGTTGTTCCGCATGTAAATTAAAGGTGTGCGTGATGCTTCACGCCGCGGACTATATTAATCTAACTCCATAACGGTAAATTGGACATCAGGTAAGTTGAAGTAGATGACCTCCTAACCACTCGTTCTATCTTTTCGGGAATTTTGGGAAACCTGCATTTTGATAATCGGGTTTTTCCGCAATACGTAAAACGATGATACAGATTGGGAAAATTTACAGATAAAAGCCGACAACGTTTCTAAATACATAAAATAAAAATGCATATAACAGTTATTAAAGTGTATTCCACTGCCTACCCTAATTCCCCACCCATAAATCCCCTATAATCTCCGTTTCCGTAGGACAAAATTGTTGTGGCGGTTGTGGCGACTAGGAGTATATGAGGTGGACTAATTAAACTACTGTCACCGCTCTAGCTTACGCGCGCGTCAAGCAGCGAGTCGGCGGGGGACCGTAGGCCGGGCATGACAGTGTGGACGTCTTGCAGCAATTCACAAAAAATGTGCGGAGAAGTTTGTCACAAATGAGTACACAAAAGCTTGGCGAGCGAAGACAAGATGACTTAGCGCAGAGGCGCTGAGCGCGGATTACCACAATTGTCTGTGCAAGCAATGGGATTGGGGCATACATAACAATCCTTACTGAATACTTAGTTTTAAAGAAATCATCCAACTTCGTGCACAAGTCGTCATCACTATGCCCAGCATGCCCTGAGACACATGGAAGACCCCGTCGTTCGCAAAGTTTCAACTGCGGGGCATGCATATGCCGGTTGTTTATCATTGGCAGCCACTGCGCCCGAGCCTGCCTGCGTGCCTGCGCTAGCCACCAGGTTTAGGAAGGTAAGGGTGCGGGGGGGTGTGTGGCAGATTTTGCGCAGGTTTGTTTTTGCCATAAATTAGTGCACGCGCAATTCACCGTTCTACGCTCGCCCTACCGTAGGGCACACGGTTGACATTGTCGTTTTTCGACGGTCGATCTGATGCTGGAAACTGAGCGATAATATTACGTTTCATGAGACTTCTGTATTGATATATTTCTTTTTAGTCACACACCAGGGGAGATTGCAGAAAGTATCTAAGAGTGAATCCAATCATGGGCGGCGATCCTACAACGGTCGAGTCTGGGGATTTTAATCAGAGGCATCTTCGTGGAAATGTTGGAAATGATTGCAGATGTCTACTGTTGTCTTAGAGTTCTCCACCGGCGTGACTTTCCTGCTTGGGCGGATGTCAGTGCGGAGGTATGGGCATACACTACTGCGTGCGCATTTGCTAGCAACCGCGAGAGGTTGGGCGTTGCACGCGGAGTTAGGTCACTACAACCTCTCTCGCTCTCAAGCTGTGGTCACCAGCCTACAGCAGCTACGGAACGTACTAGTAACACGAAGAAACCTGTCATTAGCTATCAGTCGGCGCCGACTTATGAGTACACAAATACAGCGATGATCATGTGTGACTATCGCCCACTTTACATATTTAAAAGACGTCACCTTAAAAACAAACGGAATCGACTATGCCAAGAAGAAATTACATGACTCCACTTATTTCAATTAAGATATCTTTGAATGCTGCTGAAAGTACGATGACAAGAAAGGGTCCCGGAGTCGATTGGTAAGTACAACACGTTTGCAACCCTGACGACGGGGCCTGGTTAGTATTCTCGCAACAAACGGCATCTTATATGAAAAAGTTTCTACCCATTTCTAAGGGTATGCAGCGGAAAATCGAAGAAACCTTGAAGTCCCTCACTCAACGGCTTTGAAATTGTGCAGAAAATCACAGCCACTCTCATATGTACGACTTCACGTAACCTATGGAGCTGCACACCTCGAAGTCCACCAAGCTTAGGAAACCAAGAAGAAGTACCAAGTCTACAGGACTGGAATTCTAAGTAGCAGCACTATCAGCGTCCATTCCCTTTTCACCTGTCATTACGCGCAGTTGAAATCCGCATGAACTTTAGATGCAACTTTGCCCATCGCACTAATAGTGACAAAAGGGATCTTTATTACTTTAAAGAATCTCATCAAACTGACCAGACCCTCCCCACTTGCTTGCACTTGAAACGCATTTTTCCTCCTGACTAAAAGTTCGTAGAAAAATCAGCGGGATAAAGTACTAAAGTATATATTAAAATGTAGGGAAGTGTCTCACGCTTTTTTCGACTATGTTTTGCATTACTGCTCGAATGGGCAAAGTTTTATGCCTTATCTACGTCTAGTGGTCGCCTTTGAACGATCTGCATGCAAGTCTCATGTCACAGTGAACCTATAAAGCCAGAGGCAGCTGCAACTGCAGAAGTCTACTTGGCTGAGATTTACAGCTCAGTAATTAGTTCAGTAACTATGCATTAAGACTTCATATAATATTTCTCATGATTTAAATCAAGTTTAGGGGATTAATTGTTCGATACAAAATTATTCAGGACTAGATAGAAACACGATGAACGCGGAATGTAGCAATATCAATTGAACACATGAAATCAATTATTTTTCTGAACAGTCAGCGAAAAATACATGAATGGGACCGAAAAACTCCGTGAACAGACCGTCAATGACCGATCTCACGTCACATTAACCGAAAGTATCAACTTAATATTAGCTTAGGAATGATTACCTACGTGTACTTGTAGTATTCATTATCTTGAAGCATAATACCCAGGTAGTTCCGACACCCCACGATGACGGCTTTTGAACGAATGTCTTTGTTTGCCTCCTGAAAAAAAACTCACTCGAACAAAATAACTACTTTATTCTTGTGCATTTTACATATAAACGTTTGATACTATTACAAATTCAAATATATATATTGTAGATCAGAGGCGGTATGCATTCCGAGCGATATAATGAAGAAAAGAAGAGGTTCTTCGGAAAAA